CAAATGAACAATTCATACTAGCTTCTATTCAAATGTTTTCCTCACATCAAATCTACGATTTGAAATTAGTACTGTGATCAAATATCACAGAATAATGAATAATCCATAGTAAGCTTCAATTCAAATATTTTTCACACTTCAAATCTGTCAATCGGAATTTTTGATATGGCCGAATATTATACGGCAAGTGAATATGTTCTAGTAACCTCCTGTTCAAATGTTGTGTTCACATCAAGCCTATGAATTGAAATTAGTAATGTAATCACTCTTATATTGCAGATGAAAAATTCCTACTAAGCTTCTATTCGAATGTTTTACTCTTTTCATCATAAAATTTGCAATTATTAATGTGATCCAATACTAAAAGACGATTGAATAATGTATATTGACTTCTATTAAAATAACTTTCACCTTACAACTGTGTAATTAGAAATTGGCAATGAGAGGAAATATGACATGTTAAATGAAAAAGTCAAATAAAACTTCTATTCAAATATTTTACTCAATCCAAACCTAAGATTTCAAAATAGTAATGCCGTTCTCTACTGCATGGTAGCTAATTGCACCCAATAAAGTTTCTATTCAGCTATTTTGCTTCTGTCAGACTATAATTTTGAAATGGTAATGTGATCAAATATCATATGACAAATATTTTGTCTCTATAACCGTTCTATACCAATTTTTTAGTAACTTCGAACTTACGACTTGCAAAAGTGATTGCGGTCCAATACCACATGACGAATCAATAATTCATAGGATGCTTCTATTGAAATAATTTCGTCGCGTTCAATTTATGATTTCCAATTAGTAATATGCTAGAATATTACGTTGCAAATGAGTGATTCCCAGTAAGCTTCTATTCATATATTTTGCTTACTTGAACCGCATGATTTGAAAATATTAATGTCACCAAACATTACATAACAAATAAGTAATTCATAAGAAATTACCATTCGAATACTTTACTCACGTCACCCTATGCTTTAAGATCAGTACTATGATCAAATATCACAGGACGAATGAATAATCCACATCAAGTTTCGATTCAAATATTTTCCTACCATTAAACCTACAACTTGAAACTGTTGATGTGGTCAAATATTACATAGGAAATGAATAATTCCCAAAAAGTTTCTATTCAAATACTTTGCCCAATTCAAACTTTTCATTTGGAATTGTTCATGTAGTCAAATATAACATGCTAATTGAATAAACTATAGTAAGCTGCTATTGAAATATTTTCCTGACTTCAAACCTTTCATTTGAAAATGTTAATGCAGTTGAATATCACACGCTAATTGAACAAGTCATATAATTGTTCTATTCCAATATTTTTCTCACTTTAAAACTATCATTTAGAATGGATTACGCAGTCATATATTAAATGTCGAATTCATAATTCATATTAAGCCTGTATTCAAATATTTTGCTCAGATCAAATCCATGATTTGGAAATGCTAATGTGCCCAAATGTTATATCGTGAATGAATAATTCATACGAAGATACCGTTCAAAATACGATTCTTACTGCCCATCTATGAGTTTGAATCGGAAATGTGATCGAATATTTTATGGTAAATGAAAACTTCATAAGAAGGTTCTATTCGAATATTTCGCTTACTTTATATCTATGACTTGAAATTGATAATATGATTGCACATTGCATGCTGCATGAATAATTTGCAGTAAGCTTCTATTCAAATATTTCACTCACCTCACATTTATGACATGGAACTGTTAAAGTCATCCATTATTACATTGCATATAAATAAATCACATGAAGCTGCTATTCAATAATTGTCCCGTGTTCAAATCTATGATTTGGTATTGGTAAGGTAACAGAGTGTTGGTCGGAAAATGAATAATTAATACGAAGTTTCAAGTCAAATATTTTGCTCACTTCAAATGTATGATTTTGAATTACTAATGTGACCAAATATGACATAGTATAATAATAAGTCATAACACGCTTCAACTCTGATATTTCGCTCACTTTATCCTATGATTTGGTATTAATATTACCATCAAATATCATATACTAGATGAATAACTCAAACAAAGCTTCTATTGAAATATTTTGCTCGCTTCGAATCTAACGTTTCGAACGACTATTGTAATCTAATATTCCATAGGCAATGAATCCTTTATATGAAGCTTCTATTCAAATATTTTGCACATATCAAACCTATGGCTTCGAATTGATGATGTGGTGGAATATTAGATAGTAAATGAATACTTCATAATAAGCTTCTCTTCAAATATTTTGCTTACTTCAACGTACAATTGGTAGTTAGTAATGTGATTACATATTACATAAGAAATGACTAATTCCTATAAACATTCTATTCAAATATTTGCTCACTACATACTTAAAATTGTTGAAAATAGTATTGTAATCAAATACTACATAGCAAACGAATAATTCACAGGAACCTTCTAATAATATATTTTGCTTACTTCAACCTAGGATTTGGAATTAGTAACATCCTCAAATACGAGATACGAAATGAATATTTCTTAGGAAACTTCTATTCAAACTTTTTGCTTACTTTAAAACAAATATATGCAACTAGTAATGTGGTCGGATGTAACATGCCAAATGACTAGTCCATAACAAGCTTCTCTGCAAATAATTCGTTCACTTCAGACTTATGACTTGGAATTAGTAGCATGATCCAATAGCACACGGCCGATGAATAAGTCATATAATGCTTGTATTCAAATATTTTGTTAACATCGAACCTATGACTGGAACAGGTAATGTGGTAGACTATCACATAGCAAATCCATAATATATATAAATCATATATTCAAACATTTGTTCACCGCAAATCTATCATTTCGAATACTTGATATGATTGAATATTAGGTGGCAAATGAATAATTCATACGAAGCTTCTATTTAAATATTCTTCTAACTTCTAACCAAAGATGTTAAGCTGGCAAGATAGTTGGACTATTGAATGGCCATTGCATAATTGAGATTAGCTTCTATCAAAATATTTTGCTCATTTCAAATTTATGATTTGAAATAGATAATAAGATCCAATATTATATGGTAAATGAATAATTTATATAAAGCTTCTCTTCGAATATTTTGTTTAAATCAAATCTATGGTGGCGAATTAGTAATATGAGAGACTATCAAATTCGAAATGAATAACTCATATCAAGGTTCTATTTAAATATTTTTCTAACTTCTAACCAAAGATTTTAAGCTGATAAGATAGTTGGACTATTGAATGGCCATTGAATAATTAAGACTAGCTTCTATCAAAATATTTTGCTCACTTCAAATTTATGATTTGAAATAGATAATCGGATCGAATATTATATGGTAAATGAATAATTTATAAAAAGCTTCTCTTCGAATATATTGTTTAAATGAAATCTATGGTGGCGAATTAGTAATATGAGAGACTATCAAATTTGAAATGAATAATTTATAGGAATGTTCTATTTAAATATTTTTCTAACTTCTAACCAAAGATTTTAAGCTGGCAAGATAGTTGGACTCTTGAATGGCCATTGAATAATTAAGACTAGCTTCTATCAAAATATCTTGCTTACTTCAAGTGTATGATTTGAAATTGGTAAGGGAATCCAATATTGCACGGTCAATGAACAATTCCTATCAAACTGTTATTCAAATATGTTGCTGACTTCTACCTTTGATTTGGTGTTTGTACTATGAAGAAATATGACATGGCAAATGAATAATTCTTACGAAGCTTCTTAGCAAATATTTTGCTCATTTGAAATCTATCACTTGAAACTATGAATGTGGTGAAATATGGCACGGCAAATGAATAATTGATACAAAGCTTCTGTTCAAATAATTCGCTGATATAAAATTTATTATTTGGATGTAATAATGAAGTTAAAGATGATGTAGGAAATGAATCATTCATACGAAGCTTCTATTCAAATTTTTTGCTAGTTTTAACCTATGATTTGGAATTAGTAATATAGTCAAACATTAAATGGCAAATGAATAGTTCAAACAGAGTTCTAGTTACTTGTTTTTTCCACTACAAACCTATGATTTAAAATCAGTAATGTGGTCTAATATTTCATGATGAATGAATAATTCATCACAAGGTTCTAATCAAATATTTGCTGACATGAAAACTATGATTCGGAATTAGTCATGTGCGGAAATATTACATTGAAAATGAATAATTGGTACCAAGTTTCTATTGCATTATAATGCTAACTGCAAATTTACGATTTTGAACTGCCAATGTGGTCGAGTATTAAAAGGGAAATGAAAAGTTTATAGAAAGCTTCTATTTAAATATTTTGCTTGCTTCAAGCCGATGAATTGGTACTAGTTAGGCGACCGAATATTACATTGCAAATGAATAATTCATAGCAAGCTTCTATTTAAATGTTTTGCTCGCTTCAAACCTACCGGTGGATATTGTTAATGATGTCGAATATTACAGGCGCATCGAATAATTCATAACAAATTTGATTCAAGTATTTTGCTATATTTCAAATGTATGATTGGGAAACAGTAATAAGATCAAATCCCATATAGAAAATAAATAATTTATACCAAAGTTCTATTAAAATTTTTTGCTCATCCGGAACCTGTTAAGTGGAAGTATAGTGTGGTCATGCATTACAAGGGAAACGAATAAGTCAAAGAAAGCTCTGGTGTAAGTATTTTGCTTACTTGAAATCTATGATTGAGAATTAGTAATGAGGTCGAATATTACATGGAACATGAATAAATTTTACCAAGTTTTCATGAAATAATTTACTCATATTAAATTTATGAGGTAGAATCAGTGATGTCGTCAAACATGATATGACAAAGGAATAAATCATAGGAAGCTTTATCCAAATATTTTACCCACATCGAA